TTGTCAACAGTAGCTTCATGCCAACAAACTGCACTATTCTTCAATTTAAAGGTAGTGTACGTTACATATAAGCATTACATAGAAAAACATTGTCCCTTCCTTACCCCAATACATTAATTGAGTAAGTCAAATAGGTCATTTATTACATAACAGTCACATAATTTCAACTAATGAAAGCTAAGACCTGAACATTCTACAGGTCAGATTTCCAATTAACAACTTTTCAAATATTCCTCTAAATAATAAATAAATCTGTTCCCACTAAAATCAATCACTCTCAGTTCTTCAGATTTAGATTATTGCATCAAATAAAGATAATGCTATAGCCCATCTAACCTTTTAGAAAACAATCAGTTTGCATGATCCAAACAAGCAAAACCTAAAGTAGCATCAGACTCAATCTGACATGTTAGATATGCACAGAGATCTGTGCATGATTTACATCCCTGGCCACAAAACCAGCTTAAACTTGAAGAACTATTCCAAACTTCTAAACAGTCTGATAGATTTATTTCATTAAACTGAGGTTCTTACGAGTGCATTTCTACACTTCTGTCCATGTGCTGAATGACAAAGGAACCAAAAATATAAGTGATAGTTCTGCCACATTACAATACTGCATTTAACCTCTTTCTTACAAATAGTTTGCCTGGACAAAGTGGTGAATTTCAGCCCTTTTTGCTTTACTGTTTAATCACAAAGGAAGGATTTCTATCCCCATGCATATGTTGCCCTCATTTGTTGAAATCAACATGGCGGACCTTGATTTTGCTGATCAGATCGCAGAAAGCTCCACTGAATGTGGAAACCTGAACAACGTAGTTATCCTTTGGTTGCCTTCTGGGATAATTTCAGTCACTCTAGTAGCAGGAAAGGCAATCCCATGTGGGGAGATGAATCCCCATCTGAAAAGTCTTTGAATCAAAAAAGCTTTGTCTTCACTGCACTCCTTCATACTACCCTCCAACATAACCAGGTTTAATTTGATTGGTTAACATGATGGGAATTGGCTGCAAAGTTCAGATAGTTTAACTCAACTGGAACTACAGGGGGATGTTTACAATCAGAGCCAAACTGATGAGATGTCACATACCACATATATTTATAATGAGCACAGCCGTACATGTTTGAGCCCTTGCCTCGCAACGCTGCCAGTTCTGTTAGCTCTACGCCTGCCGAAGACACAGACGTCCATCTCGACATAACTTAATGGTAAAGTAAATAATATTTCTTATTCCAACTGTTGCGTATATTAGCTGCGACATCAAGATGCTATGACCGAAAAAATTAGATTGACATGTGACCATTGATATATGATTGGCCGAATTTAGGTGTGCAAGCTAACGTATAACTAACCGGCCTGCAGAAAATAATGGGGGGAAAAACAGGTTTTAAGACAGAATTTATTTTAAAATAGAAATTTTCTAAATTTAAATCAGAATGATTTGACATTCAAATATTATTTTCCTACAACTTTAATGTCATGACAATGGACTGCATTTATGGTACAGATTATAGACTTTACCTTTGAAATTCTTAAAAACTTCAATGAGGTGCTGACACTCCTCGATTATTTTATCTTCACAAGCCTTTTTGCCCATTCCAAAGTCCCTTAGGTTTGTCAAAGCAAAGCGTCGCATTTCTCTCCAAGAGTCCCCGTTTGACCATAAAACCCCTAGAACAAAATAAGAAATAGCATTTGACTTAGATTCCAATAAACAGATTAAACTCTAAGTTACAGCAAGCTTTCTTTTTCTCACCGTGCCCTTTGTTGAAATCAGCCAAAAGTGGAAAGGCATGCCGTTCTCCAAACTCCTCATCATGCTGAACAAGAGCCTCCTTGACTGTTTTGTATCCCGCCAGAACCACCACTTTTTGTGGTCCAAGATAGACAGTGAAGACGGAACCAAACTCCTTGGATAACTAACAATACAAACATGAATAATGTTTCAATCATTGAAAAAACAATTACAGAATCAAAATGAGGAATATAATGGTGCTTTCCTTTGGACTTAAAACTCTTTAAGTACAAGAGCCCCTGAAGTCCAGATTCTGAGAAATGTTGAAATAAGGCAATATCCCCAAGTTTACGTCAACTAGTGGCTTCGTTTGGATTCACCAGTTTTATGGTGGAAGTTTAGAATTGGGAGATTTGCAGAGAAAGGAGGGGTTTGAACTTCTCTGTACGTCCATTTCACCCATTGAACTATCGTTATTCATCTATGACAATGTAAACTCAGTTTTGCATTCTATGATCCCTTTAAGGTCAAATAGAAAGGAGTGCTTCTAGAGCAGTTTTAATATGTGTGATGGTAGATTATCCTTTCTTTTCTCTATGTTGCTGTTCTAAATCGCGCAAAAAGTGCTCCAAATAATAAAAATCGAGAGGATGTTACAGCATACTGGGCTCGTCTAGCGATCCCCAGCTGCGATGTCATTGTAGTCAAATGTCCCCTCACAGCATCAGTTGGATTCAATATACCAAAGTTGCAAAGGGCTTGTTTTCTCTGTTGTATAGCTTTAATAAAGTGTCTCATGGCAATAAAGCTGATTCCAAGCATTGTTTAGTTTTTTTATGAAATATTTTATTTCATAACACAATGAACCCTAGCTAAAAGCACAGATTAGTAAGCCTGGCTCCAGGGAAGAGACCAGTTTAAAGTCCTGCTTCAAGTTCCGGTTCCACGTCCTGTCTCGGCTACCCTCTTCCACTGAGCCTGCCTGTCTGCTCTGTGCGTGACCACCTGGTCATGCTTCTCGTCCCAGTCAGAGTCTGAACCCTCCTCCTGGGAGCCTGTGGATGCCTGGAAGTCTGGATCCTGCCACCTGTTTCTGTTCCTGTCTGATCTGGATCCTGTCCCTGTCTGTTCCTGTCTGTTCTGGATACCTGACCAGGATCAGCTTCCAGCATGTCCTCTGGGACTGCAGCACTTGGGGACATTCTAAGACTGGACTATTAAACCAGGTAAGTGGCCAACTCAGATAATCATCCTTTGTCAGATGATCGTGTTCACTTACCTGTGTTTCTCCTGCAGAGGGATTGTGATTGGGCGGTGCCCCGCTCCCCATCCTGCAGTGCCCCCAAGCCACAGCTCTGCTTTTGTTTTGTTTGTTTATTAAACGTTTTGATCTTTCCTACTGACTGTCTCTCCTTGAATACTGGGTCCATCTGTCCTCGGTTCTTGACAGAATGGTCTGGTCAAACAAGGATCCATCGGGGGACAGTCAGTAGGATAAGGTTGGTTTTTCCTTTCGGGTTTGTTTTTCGGCCCTGTTCTGACATGCGGGAGGTTCTGTTTATTAGTCTGTGTTTTGGGTCTGT